GTCAAACTTTAAAGGACATTATGCAGATCAGGACTGTTTTTTTGAGGTTGAGTCTCAGCCCACCAAACTCAGTATCTGTACAACTGTAGCATTTTTGTGTTGGTTAAGTATAATTAGGTGTGGCATCTATTTTGAATGAAGTCAACTCCAAAAGCTTATGAGACTGTAGATGTACACGTAACTGTTGTTTTCTGAAGATTTTGTTCAAGAGGTTCTTTGCTAAAAAAAAAAACAAACAAACAGTTAATGGCAAGATTTTAAAGGGGACCTAATATGCAAAATACACTTTTTTCTGTTTTTTTTAACCTACAGTTAGGTCTGTACTGCTTCTAAAAACAGTCCAAGCACCAAAAACATGCACTCAGGGGTATTTTTTACTWTAAGTAAATGTATTTTTTTGTGTCTTGAAATKACCTGTTTTCAAACACCAATGTTTGTGATGTCACAAACAGCACTCTAACCCACCCCGACCTGAGTCCAGCCCCTCACCTGGTAACTCAAGCTGAGACTCCACCTACTTCTTCACAGGACGGTTCTGCTGTCTTTAGAACATTCAAGGAGAACAAAAAACATTTATGCACTGCACGGCCCGGCCTGGCACCAAGACCAGCCCGGCCCTGCTTGTTTCGCACTCTGTGGAGAGCCGCCTCAAAGTGGGTGTGAACTTCTTACCAGAAATGCGCGAATTAGGATAGTGACATCATTTGGTTTGCGACTCAACAATGGACGCCGCCACTGAGCTCCTGACTGTTTTGATGTTGTTCATACAAGTAGTTAAATTACAGATTGCAGTGCAAGAATGGATACTTAAACGTAGAGTTAGACGACGAATGGCGATGCAAAATAGAGCGGGGTACCGAAGGCTGTACCTGGCCATACAGCAACAACAAGCGGCTAGAGCAGGGGTGTCCAAAGTGTGGCCCGGGGGCCATTTGTGGCCCCTGACTTCAGTTCAAGAGTTATACTAATTTGTTTACAAATTTGTCCCCCCGGCACAGGTGTTTGATGTAGATGGAGACTTTTTATTTATTATTAATGCAAATTTATCACAAAGTAAAATCTTACAATAAAAAATATTGGCAACAATACCAATTATTTGTCTTTAAATCACCAGGCTCATAGTTTTTTCCACATCTATCTAGTGACTTCTACCCAAAAGCTGATTTTGCTGCACTTCAATCTGCTTTAAATTATAGAATAAATTTATCTGAACATARCAAGCATTTTCAACAAAAGAGTGGCCTAAATCCTGATTTTATTGATCAGAATTGACTAAATTGGGCTATTTTTTTCCCCAATTGAAAGCTAGAAAATTGCAAAATTTCTTTCAATAAGGGAATCCTACAAAATGCTTTTAAAGTTCTGGATCTAGATTAATTTACACATCCATTTCCAGCAATAAATCTGACTACTTTATTTGTTTAATTAAAGTATTCAATGCTTACTTTATTGTTGAGCAGGTAAAGGAAAAATATTTTTGACCCTCAAGTCCTTCTAACTTCATGATTTTGGCCCATGTGACAAAATGTTTGGACACCCCTGGGCTAGAGCGAGACGACATCGACTGGTAAGCTATTAGCTAGCATTATTAGCTTGTTGTTACATTATAAGGTTATGAAAATAGTTGCTATTTAGTAGATCTATATGATTTTTAATGACTTGCCAGACTCGTCTGCAAAAAAAAACAATCAAATGATTAGCAGTACATGACATAAAACTGGGTCAGCCCGGCCCGATTGGAACCTCACCTTGCCAGGTTCCAGAAGTTGGGCTGGATCCGGCCCTAAAAGGCAAATGCAAAAACGACGAAGCCGGGGCGGGCCGTGCAGTGCGTAAACTCCTAAAGTAAAGATGTCATATTAGGTCACATTTAAAACAGAGTTTCAATTTATGTGTTGGGAATAACTCTCAACTACTACTATATAATGAGACAAACACAAACACGGGCAATAAGGATATTTATTGTGTAAAAAGAGCAGCAGTGAGAACACAACAGTTGAGGCTGTAGCATTAAGGGACCCCCTCTCTATATGACAAACACACAAGCTGCTGTTAAGCCAACATAAAGTAGAGAGTATAAAACAGTTGCTGAATTATAAGTCGTTAAATACCAAATAAACTTTTACAAATCTCATAAAGCAGGTAAAATAAGTATTGAACACGTCACCATTTTTCTCAATAAATATATTACTAGAGGTGCTAATGACATGAAATTTTCACCAGATGTTGGTAACAAACCAAGTGATCCATACATACAAAGAAATCAAACCATAAATGTCCAGCCACGTTTCATCTTCATCATCCTGGTAG